CTTCCCCGTCGTCGACGATCAGGGCTCGGCCCTGAAGGCGAACCCCCGTCCCGTCCCGTCCCGGGCTGGAAAAGCTGCCCGGCTTCCCTGAGAGCAGCCTTCTCTCTCCCCCCCCCTTCCTCGAGCCCAGGCGGGCAGACTCGCGAGTAGACCGTAGGCGGTCCGTGGAGGGAGAGGAGGTCCGCCAGCGGCGTCGTGTGTGGGAAAGGCTTCCGCTCAGCGGTTCAGCCGTTGGTTAATTGTTTCTGGTCGTTGCTTGTTTTGAGGAGTCATATGTTGATGTGCAGGTAGACACACACGCGCGCACACACACACACACACAAGGTTGTGGTTAAATGTGTGGCACGTCGTTATCTTATTGATTAAATTGGAATGCACTCTGATGGCGAGTGTGATATATAAATGATCATCATTAGTGTGTAGGATTGCAGAAATAGGAGTGTCGTCTCTCTTTTAGCAGCCGGAGTGGCATTAAAAAAATGTCTTCACGGAAGGGACAATCTTAAAGGTGTCTCTGCTCAGGGAAGTGTCCCATTGAGTTCATTTAGGGCCAACTTTGAGGTAGATATGAAGGGTTGCTGTCAAAAAATAATGTGAATTATGCTCCTAGAAAAAAGGCATGCAATGTGGCTATGCGAGCAATTGATTAAGGCATAGCGTACAAGTAAGTGAATTCAGAAGAGGTATGTAAGAAAACAAGAGCATCAAGCATAACCAACTCTGAACCATTTATTCTGCATTCATCGGCAGTATAACATGCATGTCCAAAGTGTGAATGGATCAAAAGGTCATTGCTTATCAGCAGAAGGACAACAGAGAGGGAGCCAGCCAAACTTCCCCTGGCAAGGAGTCTCGCAGGCTGTGAACAGTCGCCCAGAAAGCCCTCTTCTGTATATTCCACCCAATGTGTCTCTGATAGTGATGACACCAGAAAAAAAATCCACAAACATTTTGAAGCCAAGGCAGACTCACATGGGGGGACACAAGTTGTCCAGGTTGTGTTACAACTTCCCAAATATGTTATGTAAAATTGTGACCGGCACCAAAGTGTAGCTGAAGGCTGATTTAGATACGGATATGGTGTTTCTGCTAATTTTCTTCATTTCAGATAGCACAGAATGGGCGAAAATTATCTTAATTGTCTTAAATGTTGTGCAGAGTTGTCATATTGCATTTCATCGGTGTTCAGTCCTTTTGAGAAGAAAATGCCTGATCTATAATGCTTACATTGCTGTATAACTTATTTCTGCTATGAAATGGAGATAACACATATTACATCTCATACAGAGAACTCTCTAATCCATAGAAGTTTACCCTATGACAGGGGTGGGTGGTATCCCTCCAGGGGTAATGTTGGCGTATATACATTTTTTGGGGGGTAAAAGGTAAAAAAGTTCCCTGATGCCTGCTCTAATCCATAGAAGCTTACCCTATGACGGGGTGGGTGGTATCCCTCCAATATTGTTGGACTACAATTAGTAATGTTAGATTTAGTCATATTGAATGATTGGTGGGCATGGTGAATATATAATTGTCACCCTATTGTATTGTTGGACTACAATTAGTAATGTTAGATTTAGTTATATTGAATGATTGGTGGGCATGGTGAGTATATAACTAGATAACTGTCACTTACTGTGTTGGGTAGGCCTTGTTGGACTTGGTCCACCATCACCTAGAGAGCTACAAGTTGTCCTTCTATCTCTGTGGTTAGCGTTGAAGCAGGGGTTTCTCTGGCTGTTTGATGTCATTGGACTACAATTAGTAATGTTAGATTTAGTTATATTGAATGATTGGTGGGCATGGTGAGTATATAACTAGATAACTGTCACTTACTGTGTTGGGTAGGCCTTGTTGGACTTGGTCCACCATCACCTAGAGAGCTACAAGTTGTCCTTCTATCTCTGTGGTTAGCGTTGAAGCAGGGGTTTCTCTGGCTGTTTGATGTCATTAGCTATTGTACTTTTCCATTTGCCTGATACCCATTTGGTACCTGGTCACCAAATAGCCAAAGCCAAGCCTTAATTGCCAAAATGGAGAACAACGTTGCTAACTTTACTCTTCAGCATTTATTTAAAATGCTATAAATGGAGAGACCATTGCCTTAAGGTGACATGAGATTTTTTTTGTTGCTCTCATGCTTGGACCTACATCAGCGATGCCCCCTTGCTCTAAAGGGGGCATGTGAATGTGTCTCCATTGAAAGAATGTAGATTCAAAGTGGAAACAATTCTGTATGGAATTCCTAGCTTCCATGTATGCCAGTTTTTAAGCTGTGAGCATGCATGTGTGTACTGACCGTGTTTTATTTCTTTAATACAGAGCTTGCCTGCTATACAGCCTCGTCTTGTAGCTGTCAGTAAAACGAAACCTGCAGAAATGGTGATTGAGGCATACAATTATGGACAACGCAGTTTTGGAGAAAACTATGTGAGTTCCTCGGCCTTCCTGTATTTATTTGAGCTCAGGGTCAGAAGGAACTGAGAGCTGAATCTGACTGTAATAGTCAGAGAACTACTCCAGCATCATTTGTGTAGAACTGGCAGTTAATATTAAACAGAAACTCGCTGTCTTCTACCTGTCCTTAAGTTATAGTCCAGAGAGAGGAAAGTAAGTGGCACTTTAATAAATCTTAATCCAATGTCTTAATTCTTTGTAGGTCCAAGAATTACTAGAAAAGGCATCAGACTCCAGAGTAAGTATAATGCATGTGTATTTAAATAAACTCTTTATTTTGTCAGTGTTAATATACCTTGAAATATTGAGTGTTGATTGATATCTCCTATACAGAGTTGGCTATCTTTTTTTCATTTGGACAGACCTTGAAATTTGGAGAGATTTTTCAGGCCTGACCAGGATTTAGTTTTGAATCTATCTCAGCAAGGATTGTTATCATTGGTGGCCGCTGAAGTTAATGCAAGGGGAACATCAGTTGATCACTTCTCTTGTGATAGAAATTATTTGGTCAGCTGGTTTGGTTATAATAATACGCCAGAGTTTCTCAAATCAATTACTCTCGGCTAACTAGACTTGGTAGTGAGAGCAACAAGCCAAAAGCCCTAGTCTGAATCTAATTCTAAATATAGAAGAGGTTTCCAGGTTTGTTTAGCCACTTCCACTGGCAGGAAGAGCCAAGTGTGTGTGACCCAGGAATAGGCCACACTGAATTAATTCTGATAAACTGGAATTCTGACTTGACATCAGGTTCAAATGCAGCCAATGTGTCATATAGTATAAAATATGTAATGAAGGATTTTTGCCTTTGTTAGAATAATTTGATACATGGATTCCAGTACTTGGATAAGTGCATTCTTTAATTGCAAATGTAGAATGGATGGGTCAAATATATTTTCAATTATTCACTCTTTCTCCTCAGATTCTGTCTTCGTGTCCAGAGATTAAATGGCATTTCATAGGCCATCTGCAGAAAAACAATGTCAACAAACTGATTGGTAATTATAATCTTTGGTGCTGCCTCAAGGTGGGGTGGGCCTGGGCACTCCTAGTGTAATATTCTTTTTTATTTAAGACTTAACTGTTGCCCTTTCTGACTTATCCAGTTTCTCATTGTTTATAATTCTGTAGAATTATATTATGTGAGACACTAAAAAAAACTCTGTTGTTTTCACCAGAAACTGAAATTAATGGCAGACAAGTTGAAAAATGAGATGGGGTAGAGGCTTTAGCAGCTAAGGTGTACTCTTCAGGCAAAGCAAAATGATAGGCAGATGAAATTGAAGAGGACAGACTTGGCTTATTTTTATTTTTCACCTTGAAACTGTATATGGTTACAGTTTTGGTATCTCCTTTGCCAAACATTTCTTTCATAATCTCATGTACTTGCTTGCCCACATGGCCATGATACAAAACTGTCCTTTTTCACCAGGGAAGTAATAATACATGTCTTAAAACATTTTTTTCTACTTTTCCCTTCCTCTAAGCCAGGGTGGCTTGCAGGTGGTATCACACTACAACTCACAGCTGTGCTTATTGTTGGCCTGTGCTGGCTAGGGGTGACGGGTGTTGGTGTCGATTTGGTATCTCCTTTGCCAAACATTTCTTTTATAATCTCATGTACTTGCTTGCCCACATGACCATGGTACAAAACTGTCCTTTTTCACCAGGTAAGTAATAACACATGTCTTAAAACAATTTTATCTACTTTTCCCTTCCTCTAAGCCAGGGTGGCTTGCAGGTGGTATCACACTACAACTCACAGCTGTGCTTATTGTTGGCCTGTGCTGGCTAGGGGTGAGGGTGTTGGTGTCGAGCAATATCTAAAGGGCTGCACTCTTCTAAGACCCTGTTTTCATTTCTATAGCGGTACCTAATTTATTTATGCTGGAAACGGTGGATTCTGCAAAACTAGCAGACAAGGTGAATGCTTCTTGGCAGAAGAAGGGGTCTTCAGAGAGGCTAAAAATCATGGTGCAAGTGAACACCAGCAGGGAAGACAGTGAGTACAATGGATGTTGTTTATTTCCACTTTGTCAGGTATCTTCAAGAGCTTATATCAGCTCTGAAAGATCTGCCTCTTTTTTTCAAGGAAGTGCAACATTCCCTGAGATAACACAAAGAAGTTGTGCGATCTCAGGAACCTGCATGTTTTGCATAAGGCAAGTGGCAAATCTCTGGGTTGGAACCAACTGCTTATCTCCCCTTTACATACCCAGTTCTTATGAAGAAGACAATGGTCTACAGCTGTTAATGAACACAGTAAGAAATAGAATAGGCATCCCGAACATATAGTTGGATGTGCATAGTGTCCTTTTACTGTTTGTCTTGCCAGCCATATTGATGCAGCTAGAAAGCCAGTCAGGCTTAGTCCAGTCTTCTTTATTGAGTTGTCAGGATGAGGATTTGTCGGTGCAAGGATTTTCTCTCTAGATCTGAAGATCTACTTTCCTATTTGAACTAGAGTGATCTTGTGTCCTAAACATGGTCTTAATTTCATGTTGCTGCAGGAATAAGCCTTACTCCTGTTTCTTCTCTGTTTTCTATATCTGAGACTGGCAGCCCTTAATTATATTTGTTTGTACTGGCCATGGCAAGAAATGCCAGTTAGTTTCCCTGTATGAAGCAGCGGAGCATTTATTTATTTACTTACTTACTCACTTATTTACATATTTTATATCCACAGACAAGTTGATTCTTGGGACTTAATTCATCACATATATTTTTGGGGAGTCTGTGAAGTGTTTTAGCTGAAAGCAGAGTAGGGGTAGGCTAAATTCCAGGACAAGCAGAGACCTAGATTCTTTGTGACAGGGGTATCTTGACTAGAGAAGGTCTCACATATTGATTAGAGGAGTCTTCCCACAACCTTGCACTTTCCAATGATCTGCTCTACAATTCCATAACCATAGCCAGTGTGTGGTTTGCAGTCCAGCACTACAACGTGAGGCATGCCACACTGAAGGAGGCTAGGTTTGAGATTTACACTGGGAGCAGGGAAGTCCCGACTGAAATACCTATGGCACCACACAGCTGGCTGCTCTCCCCAGCCAAATCCACTTCGCAGTGTTACTGTGAGGCTAAGATCAGACGGCAGCAATGGTCCCTCTGATTTTCTGTCCCGCTGCGTGAGAGCTTCGCTTCATTCGAAACAAGAAGTAAACAAACTGGCTGCCCATGAGTAGCCCCGATGGAGCTCTGTGTGAACAGACCTTAGAGAGAACATTACGTGGCAATAAAATCTAACTACACGCTTGTGTGAACAATAAACAAAACAATTTTTTCTTTTATAGGTAAACATGGGCTGCCACCTGGAGAAACTGTGACAACGGTGGCCCATATTCTCCAGAAATGTCCCAGCCTGCACTTTGTGGGCTTGATGACGATTGGCAGCTTTGGGCATGACCTCAGTCAGGGGCCCAACCCAGACTTTCAGGTATGTCTGACCATGGCCGTGGTCTTGGGTTTTTAGGAGATGAAAAGTCAAAGGTCAACTGTGTTCTTTCCTTCCTGTCCATCAGCTGTTGATATCCTTGCGCCAGGACCTGTGTGACAAGCTCAATATCCCCACTGAAGATGTTGAGTTGAGCATGGGGATGTCTACAGACTTCCAGCATGCGGTAAGCCTGCGTTCTCCTTTGCCGTAGCTGATAGTACCCTAGCCAGATAAGGGGTAGACAACGTGTAGTTGAACTGCAACTGCCTTCGCCCTAGGCAGCACGTCCAACGGTGAGCAAAGCTGAGAACAGCAGTCCAGCCATGTTTTGGAGGGCTGTGCTTTGCCCACCCCTGGCCCAGATGTACGGCCCTGTGTGTACCTAACCAAACTCTTTTTGGTGGACCATTTACATAAATCTTGGCTTTTCCTTTTTGAAAGTTCTCCTAATTTTTGGAGCCTTTCATCTTCAGTGTGCCTCTTGCTCTTTTGCTGTCTCCAGACTTTGGCAGCTCTTCCTCTTGTTTTTATTATGGTGGTTTCTGCAGACCCTTCCCTGGGGGATGGATCTTGGTGCAACTCCATTTTGCAGAAGGGAGAACTGTTTGCGATACTGGAGTCCATACTCCCTCATCTTCTGGTCAGAGGTTTCCAGTGGGCTGCCCCTGTTTTCCTCACACAAACCAGAACATTGGTCAGGAGCGTGATAAACAGCATGAACCAGAGACACTTGGAAATGTATCTCTTTGGAGATTTCTTCTATTCAAACCCCGGCAGCACTGGCTGTCCAGAGTGGGGAGTTCTGGGAGTGCAGGCCCCTTCCCTCAAATGACTTTTTGAACCAGAGGCATGCAAAATACCCATAATCTGCCTTTGCCTTTGTACAGATTGAAGTTGGATCCACAAATGTTAGAATTGGAAGCACTATCTTCGGAGAGCGTGATTACTCCAAGAAACCATCCAGTGACAAAACCCCAAGGGAGATTAAAGACAAACGGGAGAATTTACCAGTGCAGGAGCACTAACTGAGAAGGCCCGGAAGATTCCCTTACGAGGGCAGGGGGATCTGTTCTGATGGACCTTACTATGCACTTGACTTTCCCTTTGTGCTGACAGCTGTGGGGCACTATCAGGTAATCGGGGGGAGGGGGGTCCACAGGTACCTTATCACCTGTAATTTTATTCTTGTGTGTCCATAGAGATTGAATTTTTAAAAAACCAGCAGATTGACAAGTAACTTTTGGTATGTTAGCTATCATGACTTAAGGTAGCTAAATTGGATAACCAGCTGACTTAAGCCCTACCTGGGCATGAAACATTTCCAGCCATAACTCATTACATGTCATAATTGGAGGCATACTTCATTTATCGTCCCCTGAAGCGGAAGGATGCTTTGGGCATGCTTCACAGTTGATCTCCCATGAAATATTTCTTTACTAAACAGCTGTGCTGCGTGTAGATAGAAATGTCTTTGCAGCAGCCTGTCAGACCCTAAATGATGCTCAAGGATACTTGTTCAGTGTTTGCAGACAGGTTGGCTGAGGCAAAATGGGTAAGGCTGTACTGATGAGTATCAGCCTTTGAGCAGTTGATCCAGAAACTATGAGACTGAAATCATCCTCTGAAGAAACTAATGCTGATCACTGCTTTTTTACATATCACTTTCTCTTGCAATCCGTAAAAGTCCCTTCCCCCATCAATAACTGGAAGTTCTGCAGGATACAAGTATGTTTGGCTAAATAAGCCACAGGTAACTTCCTGGCCCTGCTGCTAGCTTGCTTTGTGGTCTTGGCAAAGTCACTTAACCATGCTGTGCCTGCATCCCCTCTTATGAGAAATGGGGCCGACCTACCTCACATGGCAAACTGAGAAGCTGCCATGCATGGAAGGGCCTTTGAAAAGCCTCCTCGCCACCAATCCCAGAAGAAAGGCAGCGGCAGGCACCATGAGGCAGAAGGCCAGACAAAACAGAGCAGCTGGCAATGATTTGTATACTCGCCTATACGTGTGTTTATGCGTGTAAGGGCAGCCAGAGCGGTGGGTCTGCATATGACGTGTGTGGAAAAGAACGGTTGCTCCAGACAACAGGTGAAATCCTGAGTCTTAAACAAAACATGGCTGTCAGAAATATTGGGTCCCAAGTGGTAGAACTGAGCAAGGAACGATACCCCCCACTGTACATATTATTTTGCCACCTTCAAAACGAAACAGCGACTATATTCAACCAGCCAAGATTCTGCCTTCACAAGTATCTCATTCAAGTACTCATCCTTCTCTACAGCATCCCCCAGTCAGTGAAAATGTTTACAGTGGAGTCTGTTTTGTAACTCACATGTTGACAATCTACTTCAAGGCCCAGCCTGCTGCTTGTAAATTACTTTAGGCGCTGGTAGACATCTCCTCGCCCATGCTACCATCCCCTTTTTTCTCTGTCGTCATATGCTTCTAGTCTAGTGTGTCTTTGGGTACTTCTAGTGGTCGGCCTGGGGGGTTAATTACGAAGAAAGGGCGATCGTTCAGTGGTGTTGCGCAGCAGTTTTCCACCTTTGCCCTCCAGGTATTTTGGACCTTCAGCTCTCAAACTCCACCTGATCACTGACACTCCAGCCAGCGATCAGGTAACCTGAGAGGTGAAGTCCAAAATATCTGGAGGCCAATGACTGAGAACTGCTAGTGTGAGAAAAATCAGGTAAAAGCTAGTATGTATAAAAATAATCTTGTGCCACCAAATCAGTTCTGACTGAGCGTTTCCCAGGTAGAGAAAACTGAGAAGTGGTTTATCATTCCCTTCTTCTGGGGGTGCCCAAGACTGTATAACTTGCCCAGATCCACACAGACTGATTCTACTCACAGGAGTCACAGTGGGGGAATCAAACTCCCAACCTCTTGGTCCACAGCCAGGTACCTAACCGACTGAGCTATTCAGCCAGCAAAAGCTAATGTAGGGGTGGTAAATATTGGGATGACTAGATTTCCTTTGCCAGCACCCTCTGAGAGCCACAGGAGGCCGGAAATGTTAAAAAGAGAGTGTGTGTGATTATTCGTGCCTGGTTTGGGAGCTGTGTCTCCCATGTAAGAACTGCTGTGCATGGGCATCACTAGAATCAGAATAATTGAGTTAGAAGGGGCCTATAAGGCCATCAAGTCCAAGAACATCGCGTGTGTTTTTTTTCCTTCTGTTCACCAGAGAGAAGGGTGGGGAGTGGCAGCTTCATGAGATTTTGGGGATTGCAAAAGCAAATTTGGCTGGCCACATGCAGCACACGAGTTACACATTGTCCGCCCCTGCTGTTACGGGAAAGAAAAGAACTTTCTGCCTATCACCCTTGAGAACATCCCCCTGCCTTTGACAGCACTGAGCTAGATGGAGAGATTATCTGACCAGGTAGAAGGCAGCTTCCTGTGGTCCTGGATATGGGGGAGGGCACTCCCTGGATAAAGTTCTGAATGCATCCACAAGAAACAAAACACCCAACCCTTACAATAGGTATGACACTCAATGTATTCCAGACTACCCTCCCACCCTACTGAGCTCCACAATGCCGTGTTCTCATTTGTGTGTGAAGAATATCAGTTGTGGATCAAGATACTGTACCATTTGTGCCAGTTACTAAAGTATTAAATATGTTATTTTTTCCTGATCCTGTTGTTGTGGCTTGTTAGGAAAGAGAAGAGAGACCTTTGGGTTTGCCTGTGGGTGCTCAAGTATTATTGCTACGTCCAAGTACGGGACATTTTTTTTCTTGAGTGCTTTTCAATGGCCACCCAAACTATGTAGCCTATTAAAAAATTGCCGTTTGATCACTTTGTCTGAGCTGATCCCCAAGGCTGCTTTTGCACTGGGGAGTCAGAAGGAGTCTTGCAACAGAATTCATAAACTATCAAGGGCCACAAATGCGGGTAGTCAGCAATGGGCATCATTGGGGGGCCTCCCTGGCAGAAGGCTGCATGGGTTTCACTCTGCTGTTCTCAGCTGAGCCTTGTGCAGTGAAGATGGAAGTCAAATATCATAGACTTGCTGGGAATAGTTTGCTACTTGTAATTGATTCCGTTTTTTAAAAAATAATTGAAGCATAGTTCAGTTACATCACAATTCCAATACACCACAGGTAATTTCAGTCCTTTGGTTGTGAAATCCGTTTTTTTTTCCAGTGGATTTATGCCTTTGCAGCATAAAATCTGTGATTTAAAAATTATTTTTAAAATATTGATTTTTTAAAATTGCTGCTTGTTTAAAAAAACCTATGGTACGGGAGTTTTAATTTGAAAGATACATTCAAATGTAGAGATCTCATTAAGGAATAAGGGTTATACATTCCATATTATGAGCACCTAGTTACTCTTGTAAACTACTTTCTAAGCTCTATGTATTTCTGTTCTCTCAGTTGTATGACAGTTGAGAATCTTGTCTCAAGGAATTGCAGAGGGATACACATGAACGCGAGCACAAGGTGGTGCAGTTGCCTAACTTTTAAAACAATCACAGTTCATGGTTTACTTGCAGAGACTGGGCTTGAGTCTAGCTGCTTGTGTTTCCTGTATAAAACAGTGTGAACACAAAGTAACACAAGAAAGTTTGACCAAATACTGTTGCTTTCCAGGAATAATTTATACTTGTGTGTCTGTATTCTGTTTTTGGAATTTAAGAAGCTGCCCTTTTATTTGGGTGTTCATTGTGATTTTGACACAAACTATCAGATACACTGAAAAACAAAAAATAACCCAAGTTCTTATTGCAGTTCAGCTTTTCAAAGCAACTTTGAGCAATGTGGAACTGTATGTTTCTTTGGTGCACAGTGCCCAAACAGGACAGGCAGTGGGGAAAGAAAAGTCCTATTTCGGTAGATCTGTAAGGGGCTTGTATTTGTCAAAACTCAAATGAGTTTGTTTCCAACCACAATAACCTACTTGGTGCATCCAAATCTAGCTAGTGGATGTGCACAAGGTGGTTTAGCCAGGCTGACCTACAGTTTAAGAGGCTGTAGATCAGGATGAGCAGCTGTGACCCTCCTGATGCTGCTACAATTCCCAGCGTCCCTTACAGCAAGGGCTCCTAAGGTTGCAGTGCAGTAACATAGGCATGGCTTCATTTTCCCAGTCCTGGTCTGAATGGTGTGAGCAAATGAGAGCAGTGCTAAGGTTTACCAGCTAAGAAACAAGACCTGGAAGCCTGCATGAAATGGATAAGCATTAAACACTTTCAGGTTCTTAAGAGAACATGCCTAACGTTTTCCCTTCTTTTAAAGGCTGCACTCTGGGAAACTCTTGGTAGAAATGCAAAAGTTGTGCTGGATCGGACCAAAGGCCCTCAGTAGGCCATTCCCACAGTGGCCAGCTAGAGTCTTACTAAAAGGCCATAAGCAGGATTTAAGGGCAAGAGCATTGTAGCCCTCTTGTTTCTCAGCTTGTAGCCTTGTGCCTCTGATCCTGGAGATAAATGATATAGGCACATTGTGCATGAATTTATCTTAATCCCCCTTGGGTTAGAAGATGATATTCAAAGTGCAAACTGGCAGCCCTCATACATTTTGTGATAGCAGATTCCATAGTTGTGATGTGTGCTCTGTGAAGAAGTACCAAAGTCTTATCTTCTAACTGTACTTAGTCTCTTATTGTTTACTCCCCGATTCTGATATTATTGAAGGAGGGAAGATTTCCCCCTGTACTTCTGCTTTCCTGGGGCTACCTCCTGCCAGCCAACCTTCCACGTCCACATCACCCTTCAATTGGCTATGTCCCATCATTCTCTCTAATGTTCTAGGCACCTCATGCAGTCACTGCTGGAGTAGGACTTGTAGTCCAACCCCAACCCCCCCTCACACACCCCCACCCCCATGGAGGAAACCCAAAGCTAGAGAATCTCCAGTGTCTGACCTCTTGTAAGGAAGAGCAAAGGAAATTTCTAACTCTTATGGTGACTATGAATAAAATTTCTCAGTGTTTTCCTGCCAAGATTTCAGCCTTATGCACAGCTTTTTGCTCTTGATAAAGCCAGCAGAACAAGCTAGGTACATAAATATGCCAAATGACTCAGTTCCCATCATTTAATTCATTTTCTCAGGCTGATATCTTACACCAACAGCTTGCATGATGTCTAGCATATGCAGCTTTATTGTTCTTTATTGGTTGCATTTCCATTTTGTCTTTCCTCCAATAAGTTCAAGGCTCTCCATCTTTTTATGCTCTCAACAACTCTGTAAAGTAGCTGAGAGAGCTACTGGGGTCCCAAATCCCAGTCTAACACAGTAAATTGGCTACACTGATGTAGGGGATTCCTTCACACACACCACACAACTTTTGGGGTATTTACAATTATAATAAGGCACCAACATCAGAGCCTCATGGAAATATAGTCTTCATTTTTTACTTGAGCAATTTATATATAACATCACTCTGATATACAACATAGACCTTTCAAAAATGAAAACTAGGAAACAAATTATGTGACAAATAAAACCAATAAACATAGCTGAGCCACATGCCAAGAAAAGTCAGCATGACAGCCAAATGCTAGCAAAAAGGCACTAAAGTCTGCATATGGAAAGGTTTCTCATAGGTAGACAAATCCAAGCTATTTATCATTAGCAGTACCAGAAACTTTAAACAGTCAATTGTTGGGTAGACAAATCCAAGCTATTTATCATTAGTAGTACCAGAAACTTTAAACAGTCTATTGTTGTAAAAAAAAAAATCCAATTTTTAAAATTTAAATCAAACTCACCCCGGAAGCAATCATATTATATTGCGACTTAGCATCTTCAAGATGCTTTTGATTACAACTTCCATGAGCCTTAACAAACCTAAGGGAGGAATTATGGGACTTGTCCAATATTCCTGGAAGGCACTAGGTTACAAGAAGCCTGTATTGCTGAATATCAGACTGATTATCTCATGCATATTTGAGAAAACCACAGACATCTGCCAAACCTTGAGCCCACTGAGCTGGGTTGCTGCTACTCTTTGTCAGGGAAGGGCAACTTGTAGTCCTCTGGATGTCACTAGATTTGCAAATATTCACCATTACAACCAATAATGGGGGATGATGGGAGTTACAGTCCTGCACCCAGAGGGCCACATGTTCCCCATCACCATTCTAGGTTGTTACTACTGACGTAATGCTAGGTCATAATATTTTGATTTAATTGTCAAAACAGTAAAAGAGTTATTGACACAAGGGTGCCACTTATTAAGACATGCCTATCCAGAACCTGATTCTACTTTAGGAGACAAGAAGCCCCATTCTAGGCTGCCACTTGATGGCCCTGTTCTAGCTTGGACTCCATGGCCTTATAGGCCCCTTCCAGCTCAATTATGAATATTCTAAGCAGAAGTGATCTTGTTAAAGTTTGTAGCCAGCACTTTTTACACGAAGGCCCACCTGCCTGTCTTCTGGTGATGCCCACCTTGTCTGTCGGGCACCTACTTCTCCAGTGCAAAACAGACAACTTGAAGCCTTCGGTATGTTTTGCATTAGAACTCCTACCAGCCCTGAATACATTGGGTACAGCTTAGGGAACTGAAGCCTCAAACATCTGGAGGTCCAAAGGCTGCTTAGCCCTCACATATCTAGTCCTTATTTGCTAGGCTGTGAAATGAAGGGGAGAGAGGAACACCTTAACTGTCTGTCTTTTAATTTTACCCTGATGGACCTCCTTTGGAATCTCTAGGTCATCCCATGTTAGCTCAGGCCTGGGAAACTGGTCCCCCCCCCCGATGTTCCCAGCCCCCATCAGTCCCTGCCATTTTGGCTCATGGTGATGGATAAGGGGAGCAACAGTTTGTCCACATCTGGAAGGATGATGCTTTCCTGCAGCTGCTGTAAATCTCTTCCTAGTGAGATTTCAATCATTCACGGGAGCCTTTCCTTTCCGCTTCTTCCTCCTCTTCTTGGCAGCATGGCTGAGACTGACTGATGGTCCTTCAGCACCAGCCTCCGGCAGCTGAATTGGGGAGCTCGCCTTACTGTCCCTGGGGTGTTGCTTTTCAAATACGGCCACAAAAAAACCATTTGTCAGTGTTTCTTTAGGAGATGCTCGAAGGCAACACTTGGCTTCATCAAAAACAGCTAAGCCGCGGTGGGGCCAAGAGGGGAGGGCTTCCACCAACCTGAAAGCCCTTCCCTGCTGCTCCAGGACATCACGAACCACGTCCTCATTCTCTTCCTGGTGCACCGAACAGGTGGAATAAACCAAGCGGGAGAGAGCAGGAAATTTCAATGCATGCATCAGCATCTTTCGCTGGAACCCCGCCAGGGCCTGCAGTCGCTCTGGCGAAGGGGAATCCTCACCCTCGCCCGGCATCCGGCCCACGATGCCCGAGCCGCTGCACGAGGGATCCAGAAGTATGTACTGGACTTTGCTGTACTTGGAGTCGCCGGGGTCAGTCGTCAGGAAGTCCTGGTGAGCCAGCTCGCAGCACGTGGCCCCCGACCGGACCAACATGGTGTTCATGGTGGCGAGGCGCTTGGCGTCGAGGTCAAAGGCAAAGATCCGGCCCTTGTTGTTCATGAGGGCAGCCAGCTGGCTGGTCTTGTTTCCCGGGGCAGCGCAGGCGTCGATCACGTGGGACCCCGGCTCTGGGTTCAAGAGAAAGGCTGGGAGGCAGCTGGCCTTGTCCTGAAGGATGATGTGCCCAGCCTTGTACAGCTGGTCCTGGTGGAGGTCAGTCTGGGGGGGCAAAATCAGCAGGTCGCGGAGTTGCGGGTCGAGCAGGAACTTCTTCCCGGCCAAGGCCCTCGCCTCCTCCAGTCCCGGGGAAGCTCTGCCCTGGTAGGCGTAACCCTGGCGCTTGAAATAGTCCACCACGTCCTCGACGCGTGTCTTCAGCGCGTTCAC